TGAAATAATAAAAATTTCGACTAAAAGAACACCACTTGCAAGCCCCTTCCATTGTTTCTCTCATCAAGGGGGCGTGCTCGCGAACGACTCAAACTTTTTTGTTAAACTCGACCATAACTCGCGTGTCGTATTTCAGAAGGATCGGTTATTGTTCGAGCTAAAACCCTCCCTCGGCCACGATAAATCCCCGAATAACCGGGCTTCCTCTCTCACTCTCTCTCTCTTCTACCGGCGTCATTTTTCTCTCTCTCTCACTCTCGTCGAGGTTCTCGAGGGTTCGAAGAGGGAGAAGAACGAAGGGTAGATCGACAGAGAGAGAGGGAGAGACTCGTGGCGGGCCACGAGGTCGAGCGTGCAAAAGAAGAAGTGTAGGCAGGGCCTAGCGATGCTCACCTTCACCGTCAAGTTCCCGATGGGGAAAGTCTTGACGACCGGGGTCTCGCTCGGGGCATAGCGATAAAACTCTCGACCCCCTTTGTACCACTTGACGGTGTACAATGGATCCCCCTCGGTGTCATACCAGCAGTTCAGTATCGCCGACTCACCTTTCTTCACGGCCGTCGGTATCTGGATGCGCACCTCTCGCAAACCGGAGCAAATTCCTGCAACAGACGTTCGGTTCTGTATTTGATATTGTACGTGCACGAGTCTCTGTGATGCCAGAACGGTGTGTGCTCGCCTTCTCTCTTTCTTGTGGGATCGATTCGGGAAGGTGTCGGGACTCTCGAGTGAGAATTAATGAGCTCGAGACGGGTTCGAGTTGGAATAGTATTCTCCAACTTTCTTCGTGGCAACGAAAAAGAAGAAGAAGAAGATAGTGGTGGTCGGCGTTGAGCGTGTTGTTGTGGCGATGCGTTCTAGGTGATAGAGAGTTCAGGTTAGAGGGAGTATTTCGGGAGTTTTATCGTTTGCTCTTGTTTTTCACATGAAACCGTGGAATCTGCAAGCTGAATTTTTGTCTCTTTCTTCTCGTAGGTTAGTCTAGAAAGAGAGAGACAGCTGTGTATATGTCTTAAGTGTATATAAGCGAGGGGTTGCGCGTTTCATTGAGTTACCGCACGAGTTAAAATGCTCAAGTTTCTGTCTGGTTGCGTGTTCGCAATTTTGTAAATGCACTCGTTCCACATTCTTGAGGATACTCGCGTTTCCCTAGGGATAATTGCGATTTCCGCCGCGATGCTCCTCAATAATGAACATTCCGATGTAAATATTTCATTTAGAAAAATGCGCATCACCCCCCATTTGTTTTTTACTTTTTCTCTGTTTTTATTGTATTTTTCAACGTGCCTTGGATTATCGGATACGCGGCTGGAAAAAAAATCTCTGAATTTCGGCGTCGATAAAGTTTTATCAAACGCGTTTTTAACACGAGTTTCTCTTTTTTCTCTCTATATTTTTCCCAAATATATTGTTTCGCGCCCGAAAAACGCGACGCAGAGATTGCAGAAAATTTGTCTATAGATGAAACAGCGGAGAAATTTTGTTCCGTTGAGAAAGAAAAAGGGAAATACGCGTTTTACATTATCTTCCGCCTAGTGCGAGCAGCAATAAAGCCCGACGTAACAATAATCGAGATCCAGAGAGGAGCATAGTGGGAAGGAACAGCGTTTCGCGTGCAACACTAAAGGAAGATCGATGTTTGTCATCGGTGGAAATCGCGAAAGGGTTTGAGGCACTTCAATCGACCTGTCCGGAACAGATTCACCACTTTGAATGCAGTTTAAAGCACAACAGACAAATACCGCATGAACCGGCCGAAATGAATTTCGCTGATTACGGACGACACAACTTAATATCCTGCACAGCTGGTTAAACGCAATCGTCTAACTAACTTCCAAAGTCACGATCAAATTGAAAGAAAAAAACATCTTCCACGTTAAAACAACAATTGTACCAATTTATAGTTACCTTGCAATGGTAATTTTCTCCATCGTAAACGTACACTTCTATCGACACAAAATACCTGAAAGATAATTCTCGGGGCTTTAATAATATCGTAACGCGACGCGAATGCTTCAACTTTTCTTACTTACGGTACAATCTTGAACGGAAGAAATTGAGATTTGCACGATTTTTCAGTATCAGCTAGACAAGTTAGCCTCGTATAATTTAACTATCCCGCTATATCCCCGGTAAATCCGATACTAAGGAAACGTTACAGTACCGAGACCATCCGATTTCAACTAAATTTTGTCTAGTACGTGGAATGTAGAGCGAAATTGGGTAAGTCTAGAGCAAACCCTACGTACACCTATACGTCCGGATGAATATGCATTATTTACGAAGACATCTGATATTAAAGTTTCGATAAACGAAGTTTCGCTTTGATTGCTTAAGCACTTAATCCGGATTACGAGTCGCAGTTACTTAAAGCGGCACAGATCAATTTTCTCCGTTACGTTGTTACACGCACGTTTCGTCGCTATTTCACCGTGTAACAATCGTATATATGTCTCTGCTACTATTCACTCTGTAATACGAAATTTATTCTTCCTTTGGAAAATTATCGCAACGCCGTTTTACATACACGGTGATCTATTGTCAGACGCACAATTGCACCGGAACCCGTACAATCGGTGATACCTTATTCGCGGGAACATCATTTTGGAAACGTAACGACCGTCTTTTATACTCCATAACGGAAAATTCGTTTCTTTTTTGGCCGATCTCACGTTACAACGAAATGTACGTCTATAATACCGCATATGAAGAAAAAAAACGCAATTTCGTCGTATAGTTATTCTGCGTGTTTTATGAAACTTTGGAATTTTTTGAATTTCTGAAAAATAAAATTTTTGTCGAGAGGAAAACAGTTGTCTGTGAAACCTCGAGAATTTGACATGTCCGTTTACAACGGTAAACACCGTTTTATTTTTTGTTTATAATTGTAAATATTAGAAGATACATATTGACAAATGTGATTGGAATCGATTTCGAAAGCAGGGAAAATAAATACGCGAACGGCGAAAATATGGGATATTTCGATAATTAGAAAAGCAATACGAGTTTTATTTTCAACATTGTCGTAAAACACGTCGTAAAGAAATGTGTCAGGCTATTTTAAGAAATTTTACCTGCATTGATAAAATCGAAAAGAAGAAACGATCGTGAAAAAGAACGTTTTACAATGTCGTACCTGTCCACTTTAACCGTGTACTTATCACCGATATACTTTTTTACAACATCGACGCAGCATTTTCTAACGGGCCACCCTGTATAACAATCTCACCTGACGTATTCCATAAGCAAAAATTAATTCGATGTCATTTTCACAAAATCTCGACAACTTAATCAACTCGAAACCGTCATACTTTTTCAGAGAGAGAGAGAGAAAGAGAGAATTCGTTAGCTGCTCGGTAAATGCAAAAAAAAAGGTGGTCTAAAATAACAGAGATTATTTATTAAAATTGTGTTCGATTTTTTCCCTGTGCGAACATCGAAGTTTATGGAAAAAGGCACTTAGCCTCTCAACCGAGTTCACTTTTCGAACAAAAATTGAATTTCTCGTGTTTCTAATTAAAAACCATTAAGCATTGCGAACAATTGCTTTTTCTACGTTCTTGCAAATGTGGATATGACGTGTTTTGATACACACTACCGTGCAAAAGTTTCCAATCACCTGCCAATTTACGGCAAAATTGAATCCGCGGCTAATTTTTGAAATTGATGTTGCGGAGATCGATAGTATTTTACCTTATTTCGATCGATCTGAGCGAGGAAATATTGGTTAAAATATTCTGAAAATTGCTAACTTCATTCTGGAAATTTTTTTATAACTCGTAATGCACAGTGGTTCCAAACATTTGGCCGATAGTGTATATAAAAATGAATAATCCATTAGTAAATCAAATAGTGTGTTCTAAGTACATAATTGGCTAACCAACGACGAGTTCCGGGATTCTGCAGTTCACAGATTAATTTGCACGCCTAATAATTCCTTTCAAAACACGTATCGATATCAGTCGTTTGACAAACAAATGAAAACACCGAAAAACACCTCGATTAACCGTTTCATTATCAGTGATGCGCACGCGTTTCGTTAAAATCCTCGGACAAAATTTACTCCAAGCCCTTTTATGGGCAACCAAAATGTTCACTGCTGTTTCAAGCTTCAATATTTAAAATAGTTTGCATAAACTTCAATTTTGGAAACGAAAAATGTCGAAGAAGTGGGGATCCGCAGCGATTTCACGACACTTTCACAAGAGCACAGAGAATTGTCAAAAGAAAACGCAGATATGGGTACCCAGTTGCATACACGAGGGTTAATCCTCTAAGTTCGAGTGAAACTCCAAAGTTCCACGCTATAATAAAAATCCACGATTTTCATGCATTTCAAAGGAAGCATAAAGTAGGCAATTTTAATCCTGAAAAAATTTTGTAAGTTTAACCCTTTGACAGTCTAATATAATCACGAATTAGAGTGAATAAAATTCATACTTTACGTCGTGTGTGATTATTTTTAAAGCACAGTGTACATAATCCTACGTCACAGTTCTCGTCCCTTTCTAACTTTCTCCCTAAAAGTCTCTCACGAGTTAAACTGTTCGTTATTCAACGCACTGTCCGAGTCTCATTCGGATAAACTGTCTAAGGGTTGAAACACCCTCAAACTTAGAGCGCCAATAAAAATTCGTGGCAATGTATGACTTACAATTAGAAGCTTAATTTTCTATCCATCGCAGACACTACGAGAACAGAAAAAAGAAACTAATCTGCTCAATTTTAACCCTCAAAAAAATTCTACAAGTTTAAAACACCCTCAAACTTAGAGCGCCAATAAAAATTCGTAGCAATGTATGACTTACAATTAGAAGCTTAATTTTCTATCCATCGCAGACACTACGAGAACAGAAAAAAGAAACTAATCTGCTCAATTTTAACCCTCAAAAAAATTCTACAAGTTTAAAACACCCTCAAACTTAGAGCGCCAATAAAAATTCGTAGCAATGTATGACTTACAATTAGAAGCTTAATTTTCTATCCATCGCAGACACTACGAGAACAGAAAAAAGAAACTAATCTGCTCAATTTTAACCCTCAAAAAAATTCTACAAGTTTAAAACACCCTCAAACTTAGAGCGCCAATAAAAATTCGTAGCAATGTATGACTTACAATTAGAAGCTTAATTTTCTATCCATCGCAGACACTACGAGAACAGAAAAAAGAAACTAATCTGCTCAATTTTAACCCTCAAAAAAATTCTACAAGTTTAAAACACCCTCAAACTTGGAGCGTGAATAAAAATTCGTTAGAATAGACCTGGAAGCTTAATTCACTATCTATGATCGTTACGCAAACGAGAAACTAATCCGCTCAAATTTAACCCTCAAGAAATTCTACGACAAACTCAAAACACCCTCGAACTCAAAGTGTGAATAAAAATTCGTCAGAACGTACAACTTGGAAGCTTAATTCACTATCCATCGCAGACAACTGCGATCGTTATCCAAACAAGAAACGGCGAAAGAAAAGAGACACTAATCTGCTGACAAAAGAGTTAACCCAATCAAACGCAGCCCACAGGTGTCCCGAAGCGCGACCTGATTCAGCCCCCTATACAAAAGAAGGCGATCCCCGGACACAGTAAGTGAAGTATAACAACAACCCCGAGCGACCTCCGCGACTTGTTCGTTCCAATTCAGTCCTCGATTCAAGAAAATCAAAAGAAACTTACAGAGAAAGAGAGAGGTAGAGTAGAGAGAAAAGGGAATAGGGGTAGAGGGATGGTAAAGAATAGGAGGAAGAATGAAAAATAGTCTGCAAAGCGGAGGACTGAGGAAACGAAGAAGAAGAAAGCGTAGCAGGAGGAGGAATTGAAGGACGGAACATCGATTTCGGAGGTGAATGCGCGGGTCTCGGGGAAATTAGGTTGTTACGATTTAATCGGACACAGAGGCATTTTAAGCGTTTCGTTCCCCCGCGTGACAGGAGAAAAGGTGGGGGTGGCTTCGTGGGGAGTCCAGATTTAAATTGCACCGACTTCCTTGAGCCGTGCTCGAACAGAGAGAGAGAGAGAGTGGAGAGGGAGAGAGTCACCATCAGTGCCACGCTGTCCGGACGAGATAACATGGATCGTTAAGATTTCTGACGGATTCCGCGTTCGCCGGAATTTCATTTGCGACT